ATGCTGGTCCGCCTCAGCTGCCAAGCGAGAGTCAAAGCACCTTGCTTGGTTGCCTCGCCACCCCGGCAGAGCAGTTGGACGCCCCACAGCCGCTGCGGCGTGGCCTTGGCCGCCGGCTTTGCCGGCGCTGTCGGCGCCCGAATCTCGAAGCCGAGGCCGAGGCCGCCGAGGCAGCCGAGGCAGCCGGGGCAGCCGAGGCGCCTGCGGCCCCGGCGCGTGGCCGCTATGGCCGCCGCAGACTCGGACTCGGTGTCTTTGCGGTCCCTGGTCTCCCAGTGTGTCGAGCTGGCCCAGCGCGCTGGCGTGCTGATCCGGGGCATCTCGGACAAGGCCTCCACTGAGGAGGGCCGGGAAGCCCTGCGCCTGCACGACAAAGGCTCCGGCACCGGGAACTTCGACCCGCAGACGGTGGCCGACCGCCAGGCGCAGCGCTGCATCGTCGAGAACCTGCGTGCGCTCTACGGCACTTCCCTGCGCGTAGTGGGCGAGCCTTGGCAAAGCAGCCCTGAAGCATAGAAAAACATCCACAGGCGACACCTTCTAAGCAACCCTAAGCCGAATTCATTAGGGGCACCCTTGGATGGTTGTGTACGACAATCAGGGATCCCCAATATAGACCCCCAAATAGTAGGATGCTCTTCTCCAGGGTACCCCTAGTATCGTAAACCCCCAAATAGCCCGCAAGGAGGAGGGCGACCTGGGCTTGGAAGATGCAGATGGCGACCCGATTGAGCTCCGCGAGCCCTCGCCCAGCTTGCTGGCAGATGTGTGGGCCGATGCGGAGGACGTGGTCCTCCCGCTGTCGGAGCTCTGTATCTGGGTGGACCCCCTGGATGGCACCAAGGAGTTCACGCAGGGCCGGTACGAGTTCGTGTCCACTCTGATTCCCGGGTGTTCTTGAGATGTTTTTTGACTTCGTTTTTGCCCTCCGGAGATAACACCGTAAGTCAACCTTGGGTCCCAAATCCTGAATCCCTCAGCGACAGTTGCCACTTTGAGGTTTTCCCCACCCAAGAACACCGACCCAAAGGGCTTGTGGGTAGCCGACTTATAGGACCCACAGTACTTGATTTAGGCCTCCGACAACAGCCTTACAGACCCGGACCTGGAATAACTCTCTGAATGTATGGTTGCCTAAGAATCCTGTATAAAGGAAGTAGGTTTTGGGTTCTCAAGGTATGGTTTACTTTCCCAGGTCCAGGTGCCAGTGGGGAATTGGGGAATTCGGTTCGCTGTGTAGTATGTAATTCCCTTAAAGGGTTATATACTGGTACAAACCCTAAACCCTAAACCCTAAACCCTAAACCCTAAACCCTAAACCCTAAACCCTAAACCCTAAACCCTAAACCCTAAACCCTAAACCCTAAACCCTAAACCCTAAACCCTAAACCCTAAACCCTAAACCCTAAACCCTAAACTACCCAACTCCCTAATTCCCTTCGAAGCCCCCCAGGATCGGGATCAGCCAGCTCGGCCAGCCCGTGGCCGGCGTCATCGCCGAGCCCTACAACGCCGATCCCCAGGCCATATGGTAAAAGCCCTGAACCCTAAACCCTAAACCCTAAACCCTAAACCCTGAACCCTAAACCCTAAACCCTAAACCCTAAACCCTAAACCCTGAACCCTGAACCCTGAACCCTGAACCCTGAACCCTGAACCCTGAACCCGAGACCGGTTTGGGTTTTGGGGGTTTAGTTTAGGCCTCAGGGTTCTGGGGATGAGGAATCTGCTGAAGTTTAAAGCCAGCTTCCCTCACTCCCGGTTGAGGGTTAGGGCATCTCGGTCTCCAAGCCCTTGTTGTGTTTTTTTTCGGGTGGCATCTTGAACCCGAAGCCCTGAAGGCTTAATTCAGGGCGTAAGGGTTCAAGGGTGTAGGGTTCAGGCTGCGAAGTCTTGCCAAGGCTTTCTCTGGGAGTTGAAGGGTTCGCCCTAGAAGCGTTACTGCACCCCAAGCACTCCAACACACTTCGCCCAAACAAGCAACTAAAACAGTTCTGAAATACAGAAGGAGCCCTCAACAAACAACTAAAGTAGTACTGACAGTCAGTGAAAAACAGCAAGGCGCCACTCCCCATTTAGGGTTTAGGGTTTAGGGTTTAGCCTTCTTAAGACGTTGCAACGCGCAGGGGGCGCTGGGGAGAGTGCTCTGGGGCTGCTGCGTGGACCCGGGCATTGCGGCGGCCTGGCGGCTCGAGAGTGTAGGGTTTGGGGTGTATAGGGTTTAGGGTTTAGGGTTTAGGGTTTAGGGTTTAAGGGTTTAGGGGTTGAAGGTAGAGGGTTCAAGGTGTGTAGGGTCAGGGGTGTTAGGGTTGCTTCGGGGCTTCGGGTGCAAGGGTCTCAGGTTTGATGCCGACTCTGGGAGCGCGCGCGTGCGCGCGCGTGCGAGTGCGCCTGAAAATCCCAAAGCCCCTCAAGCCACCCCCAAAGCCCCCTCGAACCACCGCCGAAGCCCCTATAGCAGCCCCTAAGCTCAAGCCCCCCAAACCCTCCCCAAGACAGGTGCACCTCTTCGGCGATCCGTCTTGGAAGCGGCCCCCACGACCTCCAGGACGCTGCCTCACCCTGGTGTCCCTGAGCCGCACCGCGGGGGAGGCGCTCGACTCCGGGGGGGCATTGGTACACTTGGGAGGTTCAGGGTGGTTCTAGGTCGGGCAATCCCTAAACCTAAGCCCTAAAACATCTAAAACCCTAAAACCTTAAAACACACAGAAACCCTAAAGCCCTAAAACCCTGAACCCCAAACCCTAAGACCCCAAACCCTAAACCCTAAACCCTAAACCCTGAATCCCCCCCTCCCGCCCCGTCCCCCGCCCCCTTTTGGGCAGGTATCGGACGCCTTGGAGCGACTGACCGAGCCCGGCACTTCTGAGCCCTGGCCACCCCAAGCGGACACTGGCCCGCTGGCGCCGCGGATTGGTTTGGGGGTCGTAGGGTTTAGGGTTTAGGGTTTAGGGTTTGGGGTTTGGGGTTTAGGGTTTAGGGTTTGGGGTTTAGGGTCGCAGGGTTTGGGGGTTTGGGGGTTTTGGGGGGTTTAGGAGTTTAGGGCTTTGGGGGTTTAGTAGTTCAGGGATTTAGGGTTTGGGGGTTTAGGAGTTTAGGGGTTCAGGGTTTGGGGTTTGGAAGGCTTGGTAATCCTGAAAGCTTCTCAGAACCCCAAGTCTCTTCGCGTAGGTGCTAGCTCGGCTTCTTGGGGCTTGGATGGAGTGAAGTCGGTTCTAAGGGTTTAGGGTGCTCATAGCTTTGGAGTTTAGAGGGTTGAGTTCAGGGACCTACAGGGTTTTTCAGGAATATAGGTGGGCTTGGAGTCTTGGGGAGCTGTGCTTTGGGGCCTGGGGGCTAAATCTTACGAGCTGAGACGATGCCGAGGTGACCGGGACCATGCAAGTCGGTGGCGCAGGGCACAAGGTGTCGCCGGGCGTCCAACCTCAGCTCGAAAAACGCTCGCCGCCCCGCCTAAACCCTGAACAGCCATAAACCGCTTTTGCCCTTACAAGCTTTAAAAGCCCTGCATCACTGAACCCTGTAAGCCTTATAGACCCTGTAAACATCTGTAAACCTTAAACCCTTTTAAGCCTTAACATCCTTTAAAAAGCTCTGATAAGGCCCTGCAACCAATCCCTAGATTACGAACGGTTTAGGGTTTAGGGTTTAGGGTTTAGGGTTTAGGGTTTAGGGTTTAGGGTTTAGGGTTTAGGGTTTAGGGTTTAGGGTTTAGGGTTTAGGGTTTAGGGTTTAGGGGAATCAAACTCGAAAGCCCCTCCGCAGGTGGCCCGCGTCGTAGACGCCAGGCAAAACAGTGGAATGTGAATGAGTTATACTCTTTTTTTCCTACCCCTCTCTTGGGTTTAGGAGCACCGGATTCTTGACTATGAGGGTTCTAAGGGTTTAAGAGCACCGGATTCTTGACTAGGAGGGTTCTAGGGGTTTATAGGGCTTAGCATAAGTAAGATTTTTTGCAGCTCCTTATACTCGGGAAAAATTCTTTCGAAGCCTCTTCAGACCGGGCCAGCCGCCAGCCGAGGACGGTGCCGCGGACCTGTGGCTCTTCCCGCGGCCGGGCACCTCCCGCTGGGACACCTGTGCGGCTGAGGCGATGTTGGAGGCGAGCTGCGGGGTTTGGGGGTCCGGGGGTTTGGGGCTTAGGGTTTAGGGTTTTAGGGTTTTCGGGGTTTCAGGGGTTTTAGGGTTTTAGGGGTTTAGGGGTTTCAGGGTTTTAGGGTTTGAGGGTTCTAGGGGTTTAGGGTAGTTTAGGGCTTAGGGTTTCAACCTGAAACCTCACTAAGCTGCTCCCAGAACCTGGTCCTACCTGAGCCCTGTGCCAGAAAGTCCCCAAACCAACATGTCAAGCCTTAGAAGTAAGAGCCCAAACGCACACCTTTTCGTGGGTAGGCCAGGGTTTTTATCGCCTACGATCCTACAAAGAAGAAGGTTTAGGAAAACGGCGTGGGGTTCTGAAAAGTCTAAGGGTGGCAACCCATTCGGCAGGCCTGTGGCGGAGCGTTGCGAGACCGCAGTGGAGCCCGGATCTGCTATGACCCGGACACGAGCATGGGAAACTCCGAGGGCGTCCTCGCCGGGGCCGACCCAGACATCGTGGCCTCCGCAGCGCGCGTCTGTGCCACGCTGGATGTGGCGAAGGACGGCGCCGGCGGGCCGCTGCTCCGGCCCTGGCTGGAGCAGGCGCTGAAGCTCCCGCAGAACACCGTGCGGGCCTTCTGCGTGGACGAGGACTGCGTGCGCGGCCCGCACGCCTCCGTGCTGCGGCTGAAGCTCTGCTACTCCACCGAGGGGATGGGGCCTGAGGCTTTGATCCTGAAGCGCGCCACGCCCCGGGACGCCAAGCACGCGGCCCTCTACGCTCGGGAGTGCATCTTCTTCGAGACTTGTGGCCCACTACTCCGCGAGCAGGGTGTGCACATCCCACAGGTTTTCTACCAAGAGGCCAGTGGGGAAGGCTCCGAGGCCGGCTCGCTGATGCTGATGGAGGACCTCATCGACAAGTCCTTCCACAAGGAGCCGGTCTTTGAGACCGAGGAGTTGGCCTGCGCACTGGCGGGCCTCGCCCAGCTGCACGGTTGCAGCTTCGAGAACCAGGAATTGCTGAAAGCTGTGGCAGCCATACCTCCGGAGCCGCAGGTGAGTGGGCCCAGTACACCCAGTGGGCCCAGTACACCCAGCACCAAGGCCGGGGAGCTCTGGAACAAGTTCCTGGCCTCCGTCCCCGGCGTGCGCGAGTCGGACTCCTTGGCGGTGGTTCAGGACTTCGGCACCCGCCTCGCTGCCTTGGGAACTCAGGCACTGCCCAAAGAGACCGGCTGCGTGGTGCATGGGGACTTCCGATCCGAGAACATCTTCCTGGACAGCGCGCAGGACAAGGGGGCTCTGTAGGGGCCCTATAGGGGTTGAACTTCTGCACCTCCCCCCTCCAGGATGCCATCTTCATCGACTTCAAGCACGCCGCCGTGGGACGGCCCGCCTCAGACGTGGCCTGCCTCGTGCTCAGCTCGGCAATCCTGGAGGACTTCTTTTGTGGGGTTAGGGCGCTGAAGACTAAAGGGGTTGAAAAGTGCCCAAGCCCCACAAAGTCTCAAACCCCAAGCTTTATATCAGCCTTGAACCCTGAAATCCTGGCTTTGCGTCGCCCTCAGAAGTATGCATGGAACTGACGCGTGATTTGGGCACTGAACCCTACAAGCCTTAAACCCTCGAAACCTAGTCCTGCAAACCGAAACCTTGAATCAGAACGCCTGTACACATGAAGCCCTAAACCTTAAATCCTGAACCCTAAACCCTAAACCTAAACCTCTGACTGCAGGACCTCACCCAAGCAAAGCTCCTGGAGCTTCTAGATGCCTACTGGGTAACTGGGCTGCTCAGCAGTGCAGGGTTTTCGGTTAGCTTTTGGGATTTAGGGTTTAGGGGTATGGGGTTTACGGTTTGGGGGTTGGGGGTGCAGGGTTTTAGAGTTGCAGTTCCATTCTGTATGTACCACAAGAGAAGATAGTATTCTGAGCTTTATTCCAGGGGTGAACAACCCTAAACCCGAACCCCCTAAGCCCCAACCTCCTAAACACCCTAAACCCTAAACCCCAAACCCTAAACCCTAAACCCTACACCCTAAACCCTAAACCCTACCAGTACTTAAACCCCAAACCCTAAACCCCAAAAAACTCTCCCAGGAGACCTTCTCAGAAACCCTGGCGCGCAGCAAGCGGGCGCCGGGCCCCACAGTGGTGCCTCGGGGGGCGGGTTTCTCTTTGAGCTTAGGGTTTGGGGCTTAAGGGAGATTTTTTACTAGGATGCCCAGTAGTACCCTCATTCCCTTTTTGGGGGGGGGGTTTAGGTTCCCTTATAAACCCCTTTAAGCAAAAAAGGGCACCCTTTTTAAAGCCTTGGTTGCTGGGCAGCCTAGTTTATGTTCTGACCATCTTCGCCGCGTTTGGGCGGGTGGCTGCCAAACTCCCCCCCCTGGCAGGAGCAGTTCCGGCGCGAGTTTAAGCTGAGTTGCATCAACTACGCCCTTCTGACGCCCCCACGCAGCAACTTGGTCTCCATCCGAGGTCCCTCCCTAGACCCTACAGACCCTCAATCCTAAACCCCAAAACCCGAAACAGCCCTAAATCCTAAACCCTCAAACCCTAAACCTAGACTTAGGCCCTTGTTAGGGGGAACCCGAGGGCCGCAAAGTGTGAGGAGCCAGTGGCCGGCCCACGATTTCTCTCTGACCTGCGCGAATCCGGTCCCTTCCCAGGATCCCAGCCGTGCCCCCCAAAAAAATTTGGGACGTAAGGTCATGAGCCCTATAAGCCCTCTAGGATAAAACCAGCCCCAAATGTGCAACTTAAGGTCGTGAGCCCTATAAGCTATAAGCCCTCTGCCATAAACCAAGGTGTGCACATGGACGAGGTCCCGCGCCATCTCCTCATGGCTCAGTATCTCGAGTCCCTTCTTCACGAGATCCACGACCCTTGTGCTTGGTCCAACTGAGCGGCACCCCAAACGGGAATATAGTTACATCGTGTTTATATATCTATATCTATATTTATATATGTATGTCTATATCTACATCTGTAACTATGTCTATGTCTATATCTATAGCTATATATCTCTGCATCTCTGATATCCTTCGTAGGATAAGGAAGGGGTTGTGAAGGGCACCTACTTCCCTACCAAGAACTGGTCAGAAGCCCCCGAATCCCCCGAAGCCTCGATTCGACAGCTGAGGACACAGGCGATGTGAGCGGAAGCAGCGATGCCATGCCCGGTTTTCATGCAGTTGTCGACTAAAGTGTCGGCCCGAAGGAAAAATAAGATGTTGGGGGATTCCGAAACTAGAGGTACTCTTTTGGGGGTTTCCTGTGGCACCCCCATTTTCGGAAGTCCCCATGCGGGCTCAGGGTTCCGGGTTCAGGGTTTGGTTGAGGGCAGGTCCAGGCTTTGACATGGGATTGTACATGTTGCCCGTGCCTTGCTTCTTGGCCAGGAATTTAACCCTAAACCCTAAACCCTAAACCCTAAACCCTAAACCCTAAACCCTAAACCCGAAACCCTAAACCCTAAACCCAAAAGCATCAAACTTCACGCGCGTGTGACGCAACCCCTCGGGGCTCCAGAGCTTAGCAGAGCCTTGAACCGTCCAGTTGCGGTGGCGCAGGGTTTCGTCTGAACTTGAACTGGGTTTAGGGTTTAGGGTTTAGGGTTTAGGGTTTAGGGTTAAAGCCTAGGTCTAAGGTTCCCTCCCCCCCATACCCCCCCAAAGGTTTAGGTAGGGTTAGGTTTAGGGTTTCGGGTTTCGGGTTTCGGGTTTAGGGCCTCGATTCGACAGGACAGCCGCAATAATCCGGACCTGGAGAAGGCCACGATCACTGCTTGGGGGAAGGGCACCCGACATAGTAGAGTAGGCTCTGTCGTGTGAATCGGAGACATGGGCATTTCTGCTTTCGGGCATTAAAGTATTTTTGGACCTTATCAACCAGCTGCTTGAGGACACCTGACTTGTGTCATACTTCGCCAGCCCTCACCCAGAAGTGCGTCCCCTCGCCCCTTCCCAAGCATGAAGCCCTGAGCCCTAAGCCTTAAGCCTTAAGCCTAAACCCTAAACCCTAAACCCTAAACTCTAAACCCTAAACCCTAAACCCTAAACCCTAAACCCTTAAACCCTAAACCCTAAACCCTAAACCCTAAACCAGCCCCAAACCCGAAACCTGAAGTCCACATAGCCAGGCAAGCCCGGCCCCCCAGCGGCCGCCCAGGGATGCGCCGGTCCAGCCGGCCAGCAGCCCACTCACGCTGCCCCAGGAAGTGCCGCTTCCCCCCACCGAAGGTGCCTCGGATGGAGAGTCTCCTTATACGAGTATCCCCCCCCCCCCCCAGAAAAAAATGAAAAACAACACAAAACACAAAAATAGAGCTAATTTAGGGATTGGGGAAACCCTGTAAGCCCTATAGACCTTAACCCCCCCCCCCCCCCCCCCAAAAAAAAAAAAAAAAAAACAAAAAACCGAACCCTAGACCTTTCTTGTAGGCGTTGGTTGGGTTACGAGGTCATAGTTGGAACCCAAGCCGGCCCCGCTCGTAACCAAGATGCGTGGTCAAGGTTGAACCCTAACCCCCCCCTAAACCCTATAAGGAGGGCTCCAGGCTTGAACTCCCTCTCCGCAGACTCCCCTTCAGGCTCCCAAAGGCTTGCAATCAGCCTTGAAACGCCAATCCCCCAAGCCCTCCACCCCTCCGCTCCTCCACTCCTCCACTTCTCCACTCCCTCAACCCTAAACCCGAGCCCCAAATCCTAAACCCGAACCCTAAACCCTAAACCCTAAACCCTAAACCCTAAACCCTAAACCCTAAACCCTAAACCCTAAACCCTAAACCCTAAACCCTAAACCCTAAACCCTAAACCCTAAACCCTAAACCCTAAACCCAAAACCCAAAAACCCTAAACCCTAAACTTAAAGCCGTAAACCCTAGACCCTAGACCCTAGAAGACCCTAGACCCTAGACCCTAAACCCTAAACCCTAGCCCTAAGCCCCAAACCCGAAACCACAGCGAGGTATGCTAGAACTTCCAGATAGCCCGGCACCAGACTGGGCCGAGGGCATGGCATCCGGCCCGGATGTCCAGGGCGCCCAGGGGGATGTTGGGGGCGAAGCTTCTGGGCTAAGTAGTAGGGTTTAGGGTTTAGGGTTTAGGGTTTTTGGGTTTAGGGTTTAGGGTGTAGTAGGGTTTAGGGTTCAGGGTTGAGGGTGTTATACAGTTTTCTCAAGGGTGACCAAGCAGATTTTCTTGCAAACCGGACAAGTTATAAGGCTTACCGGGCCTCCGAAAGATATTCGCAAAATACCTACTATCCCAGCCTATGAGGCAGCAGGGTTTCGAGGAAACCCCCCCCCCTAACACCCCAAGGCCCTACCCAGAACAACCCCAGAACTGCCGCCCAGGTTGCACCACCCCCCTGCCTTGTCGGAGATGCCGTGGAGAAGGGAGGTGTTGGAGGCTCCGGGGGAGGAGGTGAGGGCGGCGAGGGCGGAAGCCAGTGGCTTGAACTCAAAGAGCCGATTGTCGCGGAGGAAGTGGTGGTGGTGGAAGCCATGGAAGCCATGAAAGCCATGGAAGCCCCACCGGTATGCAAGGATAGAGGGCCCGCGGACGACCGACTTGCACGCCAGACTGTTCTTTCGGTCCTCAAACGGGCTGTAGACCGCGTGGGCAAGAAGCAGGAGGCTGAGAGGCTGCGCAAAGAAGAGGCTGAGCGGGTGCGTCGGGAGCGGTCTCAGCATCTGGCAAGAGAGAAGGCTTTGATGCTGGCGAAAGATCTTCAGCAGCGTGAGGAGGCAGATCTTCGCAAGGCCGGGGGGGCGAGGGGGTGGGATGATGGGTCGTGCTTGCGTCGCCGCTTTGGGGGTTGAGGGTTTAGGGGATGTTGAAGCGTAAGGAAGCTCCAGAGACCAGTATCGAGCCTAGAACGGTGTGAGTGGCGCAGCCAGAACCGCAAACGACAGCGCTAACGCAAAAGAGGGGCACAAGTAGCGAACGCGAACACAAGCAAACGCCATAGCCCGCAGCCCACCTCTTCAGGCGCAAGCTGCGCGAGCGGCGAGAGAACAAGCCTTGGCAGAAGAAGCAGCTCGGCAAGAGGAGGCGGAGCGACTGCACAAAGAGGAGGCTGAGCGAGCAGCGAGAGAGCAGGCAGAAGCAGCTCGGCAAGAGGAGGCGGAGCGACAGCGCAAAGAGGAGGCTGAGCGAGCAGCGCGAGAGCAGGCCGTGGCAGAAGAAGCAGCTCGGCAAGAGGAGGCGGAGCGACTGCGCAAAGAGGAGGCTGAGCGAGCAGCGAGAGAGCAGGCCGTGGCAAAAGAAGCAGCTCGGCAAGAGGAGTGGCAGGAGGCGGAGCGGCTGCGCAAAGAGGAGGCTGAGAGAGCAGCGAGAGAACAGGCCTTGGCAGAAGAAGCCGCTCGGCAAGAGGAGGCGGAGCGGCTGCGCAAGGAGGAGGCTGAGCGAGCAGCGAGAGAACAGGCCTTGGCAGAAGAAGCCGCTCGGCAAGAGGAGGCGGAGCGGCTGCGCAAAGAGGAGGCTGAGCGAGCAGCGAGAGAACAGGCCTTGGCAGAAGAAGCCGCTCGGCAAGAGGAGGCGGAGCGGCTGCGCAAAGAGGAGGCTGAGCGAGTGGCGCGAGAGGAAGCTTTGGCCGAAGAAGCTGCCCGGCAAGAGCTGATGGCAAAGCGGGCTGTTGCGGCAGAGGCCGCACAGCTAGCCTGTGAGCACTTTCAGCTCGTGGCGCTTGCAAATGTTCGTGCGCATCTGCAAGCTGAAGCAGACATGGCTTCAGAATCCGCACGGCGTGAGGAGGAGGAGCGACAGGCCTCTGAGCGAGCCATGGCAGCAGATGTTGCGCAGAGCTCCTGCAGCCGCATCGTTGAAGTGGCCAGAGGCGAGGCAGAGAAGCATTTGCGAGCCGAAGCAGCCGCAGAAGCTGCCCGCCAGGATGAGGCCAAGCGCTTGGCCAGAGAGCAGGCTTTAGCAGCAGAGGCTGCACGCAAAGCAGAGGCAGAGCGACAGGCGGCAGCAGAGCGCGCTACGGCGTGTGAAGCATCGCGCCTAGCCTGCGAGCGGATCCTGCTGGTGGGGTCGTCCAATGCACGAGCACATCTACAAGCAGAAGCAGAAGCAGCCGCTGAAGTTGCGCGCCTCGAGGAAGAAGAACGACAGGCCAATGAAAGAGCCTTGGCTCTGGAAGCTGCACGCGACTTCTGCAACCGAGTCGTTTTGGCGGCGGAAGCACATGCAAGGCATTTGCAGATGCAGGCCGAGGAAGAATCTGCACGACAAGAGGCCGCATGGTGTCTCCATCCATGTTGAGAAGAAGAATTGTAAACGCTTGCGCGCGCCGCCTCGGCAGCCGGGCCGGCCCCAGGACAGGAAAGGAGGAAAGAGGGTTTCGCAAAAAAGGGGAGGAAGGGCAGCGGGGTTAAAGGGGGGGGTTGGGGGGGGGGGGGGGGTGGGGGGGGGGGAGAGGGGGGAGGGCGGGAGGGGGGGGGAGGGGGGGGGGGGGGGGGGCGTGACAAAATTTTGCATGGGGGGAAGGGTTGGGTTAGGGGGAGGAGGCCCGATCCGGGCTTGTTCCAGGCGCTTCTCGGCAGGAAGCCGAGGCGAATACAAGCGTTATTTGCTCACGATAACATGCCAGCACAACCCAAAATTTGTGAGTTTTGTGATGACGATGATGATGATGATGATGATGATGATGATGACCACCATGCAAAAATTTTCATACCACCATCAGCGTCACCAGAACCAGCACCAGCACCAGCACCAGCAGCCCCCATCACCACCCCGCACCACCACTCCACCACTCCACCACCTGACCACTACACCACCCCACCATCATCATCAGCATCATCAGCATCATCAGCATCATCAGCGTCATCAGCATCATCAGCGTCATCAGCATCATCAGCATCATCAGCATCATCAGCGCCGTCATCACCGCCGCCACCAGCATCATCATCCGCAGCAGGAGCAGGATCATCATCCTGCTACCAAACTCTACTGGTCGGTGGATCACTGATCTTTTGCTCCCGAAGAGATTCGGGATGCTCTGCTTAAGCTTCTTCGAACTGCAATATGGAGTTCGTTGGGATTTCCCGTCGCTAGGCTGCAAGACCTCTTGCTGTCCTCCGCAGTCCACTGCGACTTTCGGCGGTTTAGGTTTAGTTTAGGGTGAGATTTCCAGTGACTCAAACCCTAAAACGCCCTAAAGCAGACGGATTGCCCGCGGGTCCTTTGCGAGTTTCCACAACTCGTATGGATGGTGAAGGGACTTGACATGAGTCATATGAGTCATATGAATTACCTGCGGGGTTATTTGCGAATTTCTTCGATTTCGGTGGGACTTCCCGTGCCTGGGATGCAAAACTTCATGCTGATTTGCCTCCAGGTCTTTTTGCGAGTTTCTACATGTTTGTAGGCTCTTGGGGAGAGAGGGCACCTTTATCATGGTCTGAACATGTCTGAACCTGAAATGTGTACACGTAAACCCTAATCCACGTGAGGATTGCAGATTAGCTTAGTACATACGCGCAACAGAAAAGAAGGGGACAGGAGAGAAGAGGAGAGAAGAGGAGAGAAGAGAAACGAACAAAAATGCAAGGAAAGACGAGTTGCAACTTCCAAGCCCACAAACCTCCAAAAGAAAGTAGTTCGTTCTAACCCCTCGAGCTCCAAATGTCGAACATAGGGTGTCTAGGGTTTAGGATTTAGCTTGCTATCCTAGATCAGCAGACCCCTTCTCTTGAGGAACATGCGAAAACATGCAATTGACGCCTAATATGTAACTCGAGCAGGCCCTGGCAGAAAGAGCTGCCCGGGAAGAGGCGGAGCGGCTGCGCAAAGAGGAGGCTGAGCGAGTGGCGCGAGAGGAAGCTTTGGCCGAAGAAGCTGCCCGGCAAGAGCTGATGGCAAAGCGGGCTGTTGCGGCAGAGGCCGCGCAGCTAGCCTGTGAGCACTTTCAGCTCGTGGCGCTTGCAAATGTTCGTGCACATGTGCAAGCTGAAGCAGACATGGCTGCAGAATCCGCACGGCGTGAGGAGGAGGAGCGACAGGCCTCTGAGCGATCCATGGCCGCAGATGTTGCGCAGAGCTCCTGCAGCCGCATCGTTGAAGTGGCCAGAGGCGAGGCAGAGAAGCATTTGCGAGCCGAAGCAGCCGCAGAAGCTGCCCGCCAGGATGAGGCCAAGCGCTTGGCCAGAGAGCAGGCGTTAGCAGCAGAGGCTGCACGCCAGGCAGAGGCAGAGCGACAGGCGGCAGCAGAGCGCGCTACGGCGTGTGAAGCATCGCGCCTAGCCTGCGAGCGGATCCTGCTGGTGGGGTCGTCCAATGCCCGAGCACATCTACAAGCAGCTGCAGAAGCAGTCGCCCTCCACGAAGCAGCCTTGGCCCAAGTTGCAGAATCGGCGGCTTCAGAAATTTTGGAACATACTCGGCAGATGATCAAGAAAGAGGCTGAGCAACTGGCAGAAGAAGCAGCTCGGCAAGAGGAGGCAGAGCGGCTGCGCAAAGAGGAGGCTGAACGAGTGGCGCGAGAGCAGGCCTTGGCAGAAGAAGCGGCCAGGGAAGAGGAGGCAGAGCGCGTGCGCAAAGAGGAGGCTGAGCGAGCAGCGAGAGAACAGGCCTTGGCAGAAGAAGCCGCTCGGCAAGAGGAGGCGCGCAAAGAGGAGGCTGAGCGAGCAGCGAGAGAGCAGGCCGTGGCAGAAGAAGCAGCTCGGCAAGAGGAGGCGGAGCGACAGCGCAAAGAGGAGGCTGAAGCAGCGAGAGAGCAGGCCGTGGCAAAAGAAGCAGCTCGGCAAGAGGAGTGGCAGGAGGCGGAGCGGCTGCGCAAAGAGGAGGCTGAGCGAGCAGCGAGAGAACAGGCCTTGGCAGAAGAAGCCGCTCGGCAAGAGGAGGCGCGCAAAGAGGAGGCTGAGCGAGCAGCGAGAGAGCAGGCAGAAGCAGCTCGGCAAGAGGAGGGGGAGCGACAGCGCAAAGAGGAGGCTGAAGCAGCGAGAGAGCAGGCCGTGGCAAAAGAAGCAGCTCGGCAAGAGGAGTGGCAGGAGGCGGAGCGGCTGCGCAACGAGGAGGCTGAGCGAGCAGCGAGAGAACAGGCCTTGGCAGAAGAAGCCGCTCGGCAAGAGGAGGCGCGCAAAGAGGAGGCTGAGCGAGCAGCGAGAGAGCAGGCCGTGGCAGAAGAAGCAGCTCGGCAAGAGGAGGCGGAGCGACAGCGCAAAGAGGAGGCTGAAGCAGCGAGAGAGCAGGCCGTGGCAAAAGAAGCAGCTCGGCAAGAGGAGTGGCAGGAGGCGGAGCGGCTGCGCAAAGAGGAGGCTGAGCGCGCAGCGAGAGAACAGGCCTTGGCAGAAGAAGCCGCTCGGCAAGAGGAGGCGGAGCGGCTGCGCAAAGAGGAGGCTGAGCGAGTGGCGCGAGAGGAAGCTTTGGCCGAAGAAGCTGCCCGGCAAGAGCTGATGGCAAAGCGGGCTGTTGCGGCAGAGGCCGCGCAGCTAGCCTGTGAGCACTTTCAACTCGTGGCGCTTGCAAATGTTCGTGCACATCTGCAAGCTGAAGCAGACATGGCTGCAGACTCCGCACGGCGTGAGGAGGAGGAGCGACAGGCCTCTGAGCGAGCCATGGCAGCAGATGTTGCGCAGAGCTCCTGCAGCCGCATCGTTGAAGTGGCCAGAGGCGAGGCAGAGAAGCATTTGCGAGCCGAAGCAGCCGCAGAAGCTGCCCGCCAGGATGAGGCCAGGCGCTTGGCCAGAGAGCAGGCGTTGGCAGCAGAGGCTGCACGCAAAGCAGAGGCAGAGCGACAGGCGGCAGCAGAGCGCGCTACGGCGTGTGAAGCATCGCGCCTAGCCTGCGAGCGGATGCTGCTGGTGGGGTCGTCCAATGCCCGAGCACATCTACAAGCAGCTGCAGAAGCAGCCGCTGAAGTTGCGCGCCGCGAGGAAGAAGAACGACAGGCCAAGGAGAGAGCCTTGGCTCTGGAAGCTGCGTGCGACTTCTGCAACCAAGTCGTTCAGGCTGCCCAGAAGCAGGTGCAAGATCAGGCCGGCTATTTTGTATGTTTGGAAAGGCTTACTTTTCGGAGTAGTTCGCCGACAAGTGGGGCTGTTGGATTACGGCCAAAGTGGCACCCAACACGTGACACGAGCAGGCTTCCAGCTCTCAGGCGGTACAACATTCTGGGCCAAAAGGCAGGCCTTCAGAAGCAGGCAACCAGAAGGTCGCGGGTGGGCCACGCGGAAAGATGTTGCCTTACCAAGCAGGCCAAGGAGCCTCAGGTGAGCAACTGTACCAGAATGTTGCCTCAACCCAGGCCAAGGAGTCTCAGGCGGGCAACTGTACCGGAATGTTGAATGAATAAGATAGGCCGGTCAGGGAGGCTCAGGCGGGCAACCGTACGCGAGCGTTGCCTCAATAGGCAGGGCAGGGAGGCTATGACAAGGCGGGCAACTGTATGGAAATGTTGCCTGAATAAGATGGCCAATCCTTGCGTTTGGGTTTTTGGGGACAGGGCCGGGCCGTACCTGGATGCTGCACAGCCGCTCCCACTTGCTGGTTTGGGCTGTTGGCTGGGCTCTATATTTCTCTTAGGCGCCAGAGGCCTGGGGCCCCGCATATTTGTCTCAGTTTTCTGTGCGGTTCGAACCATGGAAAATTACTGTACAGCATTTGGGCAAGTGGTCAGTTAATCTCCCATTCTCCAAGCCCGAGCCTTAGAATCATGTCAGCCCCCGAGGAACTTAATTGGGGATTGTGTCACCTTTTTGCAGCTAGACAAGTGCATTTTTAAACAGATCGATCCATGATACAAAAGCAAACCTGTGCATTGAATATGTATGATATCCTGGTCCAGGCCTTGGCCGAAGAAGCTGCCAGGCAAGAGGAACAGGAGCAGCTGCGCAAAGAGGAGGCTGAGCGAGTGGCGCGAGAGGAAGCTTTGGCCGAAGAAGCTGCCCGGCAAGAGCTGATGGCAAAGCGGGCTGTTGCGGCAGAGGCCGCGCAGCTAGCCTGTGAGCACTTTCAGCACGTGGCACTTGCAAATGTTCGTGCACATCTGCAAGCTGAAGCAGACATGGCTGCAGAATCCGCACGGCGTGAGGAGGAGGAGCGACAGGCCTCCGAGCGAGCCATGGCAGCAGATGTTGCGCAGAGCTCCTGCAGCCGCATCGTTGAAGTGGCCAGAGGCGAGGCAGAGAAGCATTTGCGAGCCGAAGCAGCCGCAGAAGCTGCCCGCCAGGATGAGGCCAAGCGCTTGGCCAGAGAGCAGGCGCTAGAAGCAGAGCTTGCACGCCAGGCAGAGGCAGAGCGACAGGCGGCAGCAGAGCGCGCTACGGCGTGTGAAGCATCGCGCCTAGCCTGCGAGCGGATCCTGCTGGTGGGCTCGTCCAATGCCCGAGCACATCTACATCTACAAGCCGAAGCAGCAGCTGCGGAAGCAGCAGCTGCAGAAGCAGCAGCTGCAGAAGCTGCCCGCCAGGATGAGGCCAGGCGCTTGGCCAGAGAGCAGGCGTTGGCAGCAGAGGCCGCGCGCAAGGCGGAGGCAGAGCGGCTGCGCAAGGAGGAAGCTGAACAAGCAGCTGCCTTGCCAAGGGAGGCTCCAGCCCCTTGCCTTAGCATGTTGAGTATGCCTACCTTGGAGGGATTTCGGTAACCTCCTTGCAGTCGCTGTTTCCCAACCATGTCCTCGTGGCCCTCGGCTGGCGTGAAGTTGCGTGGAGTGAGTATTGCTTCTTCCCAGCTGCATGTTGCCCTAAACCCTAAACCCCAAACCCCAAACCCTAAACCCTGGAAGCCCAAACGAACCCCCAATCCCATAAGCCCCGAAGCCCTTCGTTGCCCAGGCTGCGACCATTGGCGTGGTCAGGGCTCAGCCCAAGTTGGTGCACGAGGAGCTGAAGGACGCAAGCATGGAGACAACGGACCTCACCGATGAAGCAGCTGGTCTCTGTTTGGGGGTTTAGTAGGGGCCAAGCCCTGTAAACCCTTTAAACCCTGCAAACCCTTTAAAACCCTGTTAAGCCTTTAAACCCTTTAAACCCTTAAAACCCTTTAAACCCTTTAAACCCTTTGAACCCTTTAAACCCTTAAAACCCTTGAGACCCTTTAAACCCTTTACACCCTCAAAACCCTTGAAACCCTTAGAACCCTTCCAACCTTTTTTTTCCCTTTAAACCCTTTAAACCCTTTAAACCCTTTAAACCCTTTAAACCCTTTAAGCCCTTTTAACCCTTTAAACCCTAAACCCTTTAAACCCTAAACCCCAAACCCTAGACTCTATACCCTAGCTCTAAAGTTTTCGGGGTCCTGATTCCTTGTATAGAACCCTAAACCCACAGAAGTTTACTTCTCATAGCGCCACCCCAAATCCTCCCCTCTTACAGGCTCGTTGTTGAGTGCAGGCGCGTTGTGCCTTCAGAAGCCCGACTTCTCTCTTGTATTTGGTTGCCAGAAAGCCTTTCTTCTACAGAATTCTGAGTGGTGCCTTACTATAGAATTCTGATGGTACCTTACAAAGACATAAATCTTGGGTCCTTAAGTTGGATTGTAGAGTCTGGGGGTTAGGATTCGGGGGGGCTCAGTCTGTTCTGGTGGCTGTTGAAACATTACGCCGAGGCTGTGCCGGACCTGACGCTGACAGGCGGGGTGCTCCCGAGTCCTCGGGTTTAGGGTTTAGGGTTTAGGGTTGAGGGTTCATAGACGAGTTTCGAGCGATTTAATTTTGGGAGCTCGGAGAAACTCGGCAGAGAACTGGGGAGCTGTGGATCAGATCTGCCTACACACTCACATACATACAAGCTTCGTGGTTTGGGCGTTAGGCGTTTCGGGTTTGCATTTTAGTCTTTAGATGTTCGGATTCTTGCGGCTTTGCGGGTGGCTTGAAGGTAGTAGTTTATGGTTCATGCTTCTGGGGTTTAGGTTCTGGCGTTTCGGTGTTCGGGTTCGGGCCTAGAGGTTTGTATGGTTGTAGTTGTCAACGCTGCGCATCGACAGATCTCGGCCCGCCCCGAAACAAGGATTCTACAAGTAGGTTTAGGGTTTAGGGTTTAGGGTTTAGGGTTTAGGGATGCATGTCCATTTCGGGGTCGGTATCGGGAGGTCAGGGGCTTTGTATAGGGTTTTGGCTTGAGAGTAAGGGGCTTTTGGCCGGGTTGATCAGGGTTTAGGGTTTGGGGTGTAGGGTCTAGGGTTAAGTCTAGGGTTAAGGGTCTAGGGTTTAGGTGTGACATTCGGATGTGCAGCTCGAAGAAGCGTGCTGGTACTTTGCGAATTTGTTTTTCAGAGACGTATCGGAAAAAAGAGATGCCTTCGAGATTGTCTTTGCATGCAGCGGGCACTTTGGGCAGAAGTTGGGCGGATTGTATGATCCATGCTAAACCCTAAACCCAAAACCCTAAACCCTAAACCCTAAACCCTAAACCCTAAACCCTAAACCGTACATGGACCATGATGCCATGGAGCCTCGGCGTCGGGTGAACCCTAAGCCCGAAGCGGTTTCTAGGGGGTCAATGCTGTTTAGGGGCATGGTTGGGGGGCGGTAGATGTCGGGGGCTTGTTTGCAGCCTCAGAACGCCTCACCACGGATGTTGAACTCTATGCCCTGTAGGCCCCTGGAAGACTTGACTCCCCCACCCTACACCCTAACACCCTAACACCCTAACACCCTAACACCCTTACACCCTAACACCCTAACACCCTAACACCCTAACACCCTAACACCCTAACACCCTAACACCCTAACACCCTAACACCCTAACACCCTAACACCCTAACACCCTAACCCTACCCTAACACCCTAACACCCTAACACCCTACCCTACCCTAACACCCTAACACCCTAACACCCTAACACCCTAACACCCTAACACCCTAACACCCTAACACCCTAACACCCTAACCCTAACACCCTAACAACCTAACACCTAACACCCTAACACCCTAACACCCTAACACCCTAACACCCTAACACCCTAACACCCTAACACCCTAACACCCTAACAACCTAACAACCCCTAACACCCTAACACCTAACACCCTAAACTAAACACCCCAACCCTAAACACCCTAACACCCTGACACCCTAACACCCTAACACCCTAACACCCTAACACCCTAACACCCTAACACCCTAACACCCTAACAACCTAACAACCTAACACCCTAACACCCTAACACCCTAACACCCTAACACCCTAACACCCTAACACCCTAACACCCTAACACCCTAACACCCTAACAACCTAACACCCTAACACCCTAACACCCTAACACCCTAACACCCTAACACCCTAACACCCTAACACCCTAACACCCTAACACCCTAACACCCTAACACCCCCCGACCCAAGTTCCTTTGTGTGCTTCACAGGCACGACGCTGGATACCACCTTGGCCGGGCTGCCTGAGCAGGACATCGAGCACAGCTACGACGTCCAGGCGTCCCCGGGATGACCCTAAAACCCTACAACCCTAAACCCTTAGGGTTTAGGGTTTAGGGTTTAGGGTTTAGGGTTTAGGGTTTAGGGTTTAGGGTTTAGCCTTAAACCCTATTTTAACCCTTTTAACCCTAAACCCTGTACATTTAAGCCGTATGCAGCCCTGACGCATTCTTAAACCCCAAGCCGGAGTCCATAACCCTACAGACTCAAGCCCTCAGAAGCCCTAACCCCGCCTTGGTCCTCAACTCCTGCCTTTCGGATGGGGCTTAAGTTTAGGGTTCAGGGGTTTGGTGGTTTTGGGGTCTCAGGGTTTGGGTTTCGGCTTGTGGGGGCGAACCTTTTTGACATCACACAGCCCAGCCTCTGCCCTCCCGGAGGGCCGACAGCCCGAAGCCCCCAGCAGCACCTACATCCCCACAGATCCCACAGTCAGTTCCGAGAGCCCAGTATGTCGTACCCTGCGTTCTTATTGGGAGCTCCCCCGAGAAAGAACCTTTTTCGGGCGGCTGCGTGTTCACGATGCTCTCCGTGACTCGGACGGCGGGCCGGGTGCCACAAGTCGTGGCAGGCGGTGTTGGCATTTGCTGTTCGGCGAATCGTGCCCATGTGCACCTGAGCCCTCGCTCGGAGGGCTTGAAGGGTTTAGGGATTAGAGGGTTAGGCGGTTTAGGGTTTTAGGGTTTGCAGTATGTTTTGGGTTGCTACATGGCTTTAAGGCTTGTGGTTTGCAAAAGGGCGTGCAGGGTTTGCAAGGTTATATCATCAGGGCTTAGGGCGTTCAAGGCTTCGGGTTTGAAAGATCTGTGGGTTCAGACAAAAAAGACCAATTCTGGAAAATCCGGTTTAAGCGGTTCAGCGTTCAGGGAGCTTGGGGGCTTTCCAGGTCATCATTTGAGGTTTTAGGGTTTGGCGAAGCCCTAGACCCTACAGTATCTCCTGAACCCTAAACCCTAAAACCCTAAACCGCCCGCCGCCTCTCACATCTGTTGGGTAGGGCGGGCGCAGTCGAGCGCTCAGCGAGACCATTGCAGGCTTTGCTGAGCTGCAGAGCCTCCAACACCCGTCAGGGGTTGCCAAGCTTGGTCGCCAAGCAAGTCACTGCATGCATTGTATTTCAAACCTTCAAGAGTCTTGAGACCCTGGCCGGCCATTGGCCCGCTGGCATGTTAGCCTGGGCACCTGCTAAAAAAATCACGTAGAAGCTGTTTGTCTCCGACCCCTGAACCTCGCGACTGGGAGGTGTCCTGAGGTCCTGCAAGGCCCCTGCAAGCCGACGTTTCTGACTCTTCTTGGCCTTCTGGAAAAGTGGCTGAATCCCAAAAGTTTGCCCGTGACCGGGGGCTCTGGAAGGCTACGCTGTCAATGAAAGTTCCGCCCACAGTCCCGAGTGACCCAAGCGTCCCAATGTCCCAAAAGTGTCCCCAGTGACTAAAGAGTCCCAGTTCTGGTTTGGCTGCGAGGTGTGGGTGATTGGGCGGCCTTGGAGTGGGCATGTCTTCACACTACTGCGCTTCTCAGCGCGCGACCTCCCGGACACACCCTAGACCCTAAACCCCAAGCCTTTAAGCCCGAGACCCTAAACCCTAAACCCTATTGGGGTTACTAGGGCTTCTAGGGTCTTATCGGGCTGGGGAGGTGGAAGCCGAGAAGCTCCAGAAGGCGGTGGAGGCAGGGGCCAAGCGGAGTACCCTGACCCCCCCCCCCCCCCCAAGTTTCCCTGTCCTACATTCTTGGTGCCCTTTTTGGCAGTGGTTTGGGGGACCTGAAAACCTAAACCCTACCGGCCCATGTCTTGAAAAGACAGGTTGGGACCTCTTCGGAGCTGGCGGCATCGGGAAGTCGGCACTAAGCGCCGGCGTGCGGCAGGAAGAGGTGGTGCCGCCATGTTAAAGAACGCGAGATGCTTTATTTAGGACTTTAGAACGGTTTAGGTCTAAGGGCGCAGGAAAATTGGGTTCTTTTTGTTAATTGGCGCTTAGGGGTTTGTGTTCGGTTGAGAGCATCATCGCAAAGGGGAGCTGCCTCAGGCTTTTTCAGTTGGCACTCCGACCTCGAGCCCTAAACCCTAAACCTTGCACCCTAATCCCTAAACCCTCCAACCCCCCAACCCCCCCCCAAAAAAAAAAAAAAACCAAGCCCCCAAATCTAAGCCCCGACCCCTAGACTCCAAACCCTAGCACCCTTTGAACCCTTGAACCCCAAGAACCCACAGAACCGTAAGAACCCTAAGAACCCTACTAAACTCCAAACCCCAAACCCCAAACCCCAAACCCCAAACCCCAAACCCGAAACCCGAAACCCCAAACCCCAAACCCCAAACCCCAAACCCCAAACCCCAAACCCTAAACCCTAAACCCTAAACCCTAAAACCCCTAACGATGCAACACCAGGTGTGGTATGCCCAAGTAGTGCAGCGGCGCTCGGGACTCAGAGGAGCTCTCGGACAAGCACATTGGGGGGGGGGGGGGGGGGGGGGAGGTTTAGGGTTTAGGGTTTAGGGTTTAGGGTTTAGGGTTTAGGGTTTAGGGTTTAGGGCTTTTTGTACCCCAAAAAAAACGGGGGGGCTTCCGAAAACTCACGCCCTCCTAATCCCTAGGCCCTTGCGGGTTCCTATGTTGAGAGTTCTGGTACGTATATGTTTAGGGTTTAGGGTTTAGGGTTTTAGGGTTTAGGGTTTAGGGTTTTAGGGTTTAGGGTTTAGGGTTTAGGGTTTAGGGTACTCTCAATCTCACCTATGTATAGCCTGGACATGAATGAGAGTGTATTGATGGCATAGATGTTGACTGTATTTTATCCGCTACATTTGGCTTACAGAGCGCTCTTGAGCATACCTGTCTATGCAGTGAGAAAAGGTGAAAGCCGCCAGCTTTTCCCAAACTGGTAGCGGAGCAGGTAGGCATAGCCACCTGCGACGCGTGGCTTTAGCCTGTGTTGGTCCGGGCCTGGGCGAGCCCGCAAGTTCGACCCTCTTGCTTTGCACTCCCTTTCTTTCTCTCAAACACTCCTCTGTTTGACCTTGGCCCTGCGCCTTTCCCTCTGTGGCACCCCTTTGGTTGCCGGCCTTCCTTGGCCGTGCTTTCGTCCCATCGGAGCCGCCACTGCTCCCCTGAGCTTTTTCCTCCGGCATGTCCGTTGCAGGTCTCCGCTATGTTAGGGGCAGCGCAAGCTCGAGCCATATGGCCGAGACGAAGTCCGGGTCCTACATCTACAATGGGGATCCCTCGACGTTCTACGACTGGAAGTTCAGGACGGAACTGCGCCTGAAACTCTACGAAGACGCTATTCGGTCGAAAGCGTCCCAAGCCAGGAGTACCCGAGGAGACTCCGAAGCAGGTCTGGAGGGAGAAGTTGACCCAGACCACAACGTCCGAGAGCCAGAGGCCGCGGACACAGCCGATGAGGAGCATGAAGGCCCTCAAGAAGAAGGAGGTCTGCATCCAGGCGGAGCAGACGAGTACTTCGACAAGCTTTCCCAGCTCAGCGCGGGAAGTCGGAGGTCGAAGAAGTCGGGCAAATCCGCGAAGCCCATTTCGTTCGAGTACCTTGAAGGACTCCCCTCGAGCACGAAGGCAAGAACAGAAATGGTACACCGTGTTCTCGAAGGCCTCAGAGACGAAGCCTTCGAACTCGCGAGGGACATCGGTGTAGATGCCCTAACTGCTCCAGGGGGACTTCGAAGCTTCATCGAACGAATGCGGGAGGTAGTGTTCCCCCGCGCGACAGAGGAAGCCCGAGAGTTGTTCCGGGCGGGACAGAGGCCAGGGACCCTGTCCAGGCAGGCAGGGGAAAGCATGCTGAGTTACATCTCCCGTAGACGGAGGTGGTGGAATCTCCTGAAAACCCTGGATGCCAGCATCGAGCTCTCTGAGCCGATGCACGTAGAGCTACTATTAGAGCTCTCTGGGCTATCTAGACAAGAAGCCCTGGTCGTCAAGGCTTGCACAGCCGACCCGAAGAAGTTCGAGCAGATAGCAAACACCTTGGTGCAGCACTACACAGGTGTTCATCTGCGCGAAGGCCGCGCGCTGGGAGGCAGCAACCCCCAGCCTTACCGTAACACTGGCAAGGGTTATGGTCCTAGATCTTACGGATCTAATAGGTCTAAGGGTAAAGGTTTTACCCGCAAGGCCTTCCCTGCGATCGACGAAGACGCAGGCGAGTTAGAGCAGGAAGAGGAGTACCCAGAAGAGGACTCTTACTTTGCCCAAGAAGCCTTTGTTGCTGAGGAGAGCTGGGAGGAAGAACCCCCTGCCGAGGAAGAAGAGTTCGAGGAATATGAGCTGGATGAGGACGAGGCCATCGCCCTCAACGCCATGGAGCAGTTCCTCGAGGATTCTCCCGAGGTAGGACACGCCATCCAGTTGTCCTTGGCAGCCAACGCAGCCTTCGGCAAGGCCAAGGGCAAGGGCAAGAACAGATCCAAGGGCAAAGGCAAGGGCAAGGGTAAGGTGGTCCGAAGTCACCTTACGTTGGAGCAAAGAAGGGACAAACTCAAAGCCCTTAAGGCAAAGTCGCGATGCATGAGATGTGGTGGTATCGGCCATTGGGCTGGTGACCCTGAGTGCAAGTTCCCTGCAGGCAAGGCCGCAGGCAAGGCAGCACACGTCGCCGTAACGGTCCTATCCAGCGAGGAAGGTCTGGTCATTCCCTCGGAAGCACCAGACAAGGACCACTCTGGCTTTGTCGTTCGCGCTGCCGCAAGCAAAAGCGCAGCTAGCCGAAGTGCAGCTGTAGCGTCAGCGGCGCCAATGCCTTTTCCGATGGAAATGGAAGGCGGAGATCGTAAGTTTTACCTTGGTCAGTACAAGGGGAAGACTTACAACGAGATTGCCCGGCTTCCAGCTGTTGTTCAATGGGCACAGGTTCAGGTGAACCCTAGTCGCCAACTCCAAGACTTTTTAGCCTGGTTCAATCGCTACTATGTGATCGAGGGCGACGAGGTTGTCACCCGAGCCAGCATAGGTATCCCTGAAGGAACCTATGTGCCGCGTGTCAAGAACAAGGGCGGAAAGAAGGTACCGCCGAACCCACCATTGGAGCCTTGCGTCCAAGGATGCAAGGATTTTACGCACGCAGGATCTACCATGAACTGGCTGCGCAGTACCTGTAGAGACTGCGGAAAGGTCACGCGAGAACCCAGAGAGGTCTCATACACCAACGACCCAGAGACATGCCCGCACGAGATCATTGATCGACGTGGCTCGTCGCGATCAGTGTCTCGCACGTTTTGCAAACAATGCGGAACGTTTATAGATGAGGTTCCGGCTGACTTCCAGCGCCGACGTCGAGATGCGGCAAATCGTATGCTCAATGCCACTGTAGACTCTTTATCTGTGATGCATAACACACAGATTGCCGGTGAGTCAAGGGACCTTGAGCGCGACGATGTGGAACTCATCATGGGTGTCTTCAATGACTCTGTGACCACCATGATAGAGATGGGGATGCGCGTCACCCCGTCTGTTTTACACAGTCGCCTTAGCGAGGCAATCGTTGATGCCTTAGAGCCCACTGGTGACAGTCCGGATTCCTGGTCCCGCGTTGGCCATGTTGGAATCATAGACCCAACGGACCTTACAAAGGAAGAAAGAGTTCTTTCTAGATGGGAGAGACTGGTTAAAGGTGTTAATTGGCAGGATCATTGTGGAGCCTGGGAGGATGCTTTCCTTATGGGCCATGACCGATTAGGTATAGCCATTCTTGAAGCACAATGGGCTGACCCAGCACCTGCACCGTCCACAGGCATCAACCTGAGCCTGACGTTGGACGACCTTGAGCAGGCTCGTCCTGAGTCACCGCAAGTTCCGGATCCTGTAGGGCCGGAGCAAGGTTGGACCCGTTTAGGCCAATTGCCCGAGATAGACCCCGACGAGGCTATCGATGATTCCCTAGCATTTCCTGATTACGACCCCTACGATCCTTATCTCGAGTGCACCCCGACCCGTAGGGCGGCCTTAACCGAGATTTGGAGTAGCGAGAGTTCGGTTTCCTCAAGGGATAGCAAGCCAGATCCCGAACCCTCCTCAAGTAGTGGTTTAGTTCCTGTCCTGCCCACAGAGGAACAGCAACCACGAGCTCGAGGTGGATACCCGAGCGACGCTGTGACGGCGAGTTTGCAGAGGAGCCACGGGAATCTGGGTGGTAAAGGGTCTAGTGGTCCTAGGCATGCCCACGCAGCCTCCACTGACATCGTTCATCTAGACAATTTACCCATGGTTGACCTCTGGAGCCCCGATGAACCTGATGTGTGGGGAGCTTTGGATGAAGGGTGTAATTCCACGTGCCACAGTAGGACCTGGGCTATCCAGACTGAAGCCCGCCTTAAGGCCTACGGATTCCAATTTCCCTGGCTAGATAGCAACCCTAAGAGTTTTTCGGGTCTAGGTGCCACCTCCAGGACCCTGGGTAAGCGTAAGCTGCCTTTCTGTCTTGAGCTGGGAGATCAAGGTAGGACCCTGGCGGGCGTGCTGGACTCCCATGAGGTAGACACCGATGCCCACAATCCTCTTTTGATAAGCCTGTTTGCTCAGAGCACTTTAGGCCTGGTTAAGGACATGCGCTCCTGTTGCTGCTGGCTTACTGATTCAGACGGGGAGAAGCACGAGCTTCGTCTTGCTCGGTGCAAGGATACAGGTTTACTACTAGTCAACCTGTCATCATTTACCCTTAGAGGAAATGAGTTCCCGAAGTGTGTAAGAGAATGCAAACTTCAACCTTCACAGACTTCACAGACTCCACAGCGTAAGTCGCCCCCTGAGCTTGTTGGTAGTTGTGACGGGTTGGACCCATCGGGCCATCCTGCTTGCACTGGGTTGGACCTTTCGGGCCAATCCAAAGCCATGGCAGTGCCACGGGAGGTCGACTACCACGAGTACTTGGAAAGTGGAATGCTCTGGGACCAAGTTCGGCCCAAAACGTTCACAACTCCACCGCCGATAGTCATCTTGTCCTGCGGGATCAAGTACTACATGAACAAGGAAGACGGCTGGTGGGGGAAAAAGGCGAGGGATCCGATCCATTGGGCGGATCGAGTACCTCAGGTGTTCCGGGATGGTTACACGCTGATCGTCCAGGACCTCAGGGATCTAAGCGACCCTGCAAATGGTGCTTGGAATGACCACATCGGTAGGCACCCAGAAATCATCAAGGGCCTGGTCAACGCCGAGGCAGGACAACGCTTGCTGCGAAAAAACCTGGTGGATCTGTTAGACCACTACAAACGCGGCGAAAAAGTTGCGTTGGTAGCATTTTGCACCAGCAATCGGCACAGGTCAGTTGCCTTTGGCACGACCCTAGCGGCGTGTCTTTTGGCAAAAGGGATCGAGGACCATCTTCTCGTTCACCTGAACGCCATCACTAGTTGGAAAGGCATGGTGTGTGGAGGTGGATGCAGCGACTGCGGTGAGTTCTCCAAGCCTGGTCTGGTGAACCTCGGAAAGCATGCCAACTCCCTCTTGGATGCGCTCGAGGGCTTCGACGAGGCGAATCGTCACCAGAACCGTGGGCGCAGTGCGCCACCAGCAGGCCGAGCAGATGCCGGCCAACGTGGAGGGGCAACCGGTTCGGTGCCTCCTGTTAGGGCAAAGGCCCCCAGTGCCTTGCATCCAGGTGTCTGGGTAAGTGGGTCTTTGCCGGTGCCAATGCAAGGTGGACCTATTTGGCCACCGAGCAACAAGCCAGCACCACCGCCGCCGCCGGCGGCTCAAGGCAACCGCCATTGCCGCCGCCGTCGAAATCTCCGACAGTTCCATCGCCACCATCACCGCCGGCGATGGCTCTCACGCCAGAGGTGAAGTCGGAAGAGAGCTCAAGGGTGTCGGCAAGGTTGGACTACGCGCCAGTGGTTGGTACAGCGACGACGGAGACGACCGCTACGGCGTCTTCCAGCAAGGCATCCACTACCAGCAAGGCTCCCGCAGTATCTGCCACGTCTATCGTTCCGAAGGCACCGCCTGCAGAGATGGAGAATGACGTGGGGTACTGGAGAGAGCGCTGCATCCGGCAGGAAGCAGCAAATGAACACCTCCAAGTCAGACTGGTTGCTCTTGAAACTGAGCTTCGAGAGGCAAAGAGTTCTGGCGAAAGTTGGCTTTCTCGAGCCATCGCTGCCGAGAAGGAGTTGGAGGTGGTCAAGCGATACGAACGGAGACCTAGATCCCGTTCTGAGTCGTATGACTCCAAGGACGAGTCTAGGAGCCGATCCAGAGACGATCGATCAAAAGACGATCGCAGAGGCCGAGAGAGATCGGGATCCATGAGACCTGGTCGAAGTGGTCCCCGCTCTACGTCAGCAGGACCGAGCATCAAGGAGGAGCCCGACGAGGAGGAGCGTGAGGCCAGAGAGTTGGAGACACCTGCGTCAACGCCAGGTCATACCCCTAGGGATGGCGAGGCGTCCGTCGAGCCTGGCGCCGGCGGAGGGTCTACGCAGACGCCGGTGGAGCCACTCCCCGTGGTAGATGGTATGGAAGGACCCTTGGACCACAATAGGCCATGGGCAGCCAACCTTAGCTTCCCCGATCTTACAAAGGTCGCGTCCATCCTTAGGAGGACGAAACCGGCGAGGTACAACAGTAACGGGTGGATCGGTCCGGCCACCAAAGAGCAAGGGATGCAATGCACCCTGAAGCACAACATCCGTTTCTGGGTGGCTCACAAAGACCACTCGTTTGTGCACCGGTGGGACAACGCCTTAGACGACTTCACCAAAAGCGTCTTCCTGTTCCGCGGTGCGGAGCGCACGTTTTCCATAATCCAGAGGGATGTGGACATGCGCGCGGCGCTCACCATCGATGCCGCAGAACTGGGGGACGGCGACAGCTTCATCATTTTGGCCCGAAGTCAGAAGCAGAGGGCGGCCGACCACACCGGCGGCTTACCTCGGGTCTCGACCTATAGAGGCGAGGCCAGGCCATATGGGCAAAGTTTGCGTCGTCCCAGCGCCAGTGCCGAAGGCAGGCGCACGTACAATCCAAACTATCGACCCGGAACGGGCGATAAAGGATACTACTCACGTCAGCACAGTCGTGGCCACAGTAGGGATCCTAGCCGAGACCCTAGAAACAGAGACGTGCGACGCGCGCCGAGGGTACATGGACTGTCCGCTGCAGGGTTCCCAACTTCCAGTTGTGGAGAGTTTAGATAGTGAAGAGCCAAGTGCCCACATTGCCCGTAAACCACCTACGCCTCCTCCTGCACCAGACCGTAGAAAGCGAACTAGGTCGGTTTCCTCGGACTCCTCTGCCTCTTCAGGGAGTTCGGGGTCGGGTGTCAGTATTCCCACTGGAGCCAAGTACTTCACCCCAGCATGCAACCTTGCAGTCCTGTCCAAGGCCCGTAGGAGAACCGTGCACCAAGGTCTCCAAGCCCTTAGGGACCATGATAAGGCCTTAAGATATCTTTGCAACACCGTGTCCGAACCCGTGAAGGGACCTGCTCACACACTAGCAATTACCTCGAAGCCTCGTGCCTTTCAGGAGTCCGGCATCCGTGTCATCGACGTCGGATTGGACGCGATGAAGCCGTGGGAGGCCGAAGGGATTCGTAGGACCCTTCAAGAGGTTAGCCCCAGTTTAGTGGTTGTAGCTATTGAGTACCAGGAACCGGGACTCAATCATAGTGAAGTTGTGGACGAGGTCATAGCCCACTGTGAGTGTTCAGGGTCAGACTACCTGATAGCTGACGTTGCCGACACTGAACGTTGGGGGTATTTCTCTGTTCCCATGTACCCAGACATAGGACATGGTGATGTGAGCTATGTGTCCAATAATTCGGAAATAGCAGATGCATTTGAGGGATGGACCGGTGAAGGCTATCCAACCATGGGACCCAGGAGTTTTTGGGATTTGTTTTCTAGTGACTTTTTGGGTTGGTTGATCAATTATGCCAATGACCATGCTGCAATTTCACTTGTGGCAACATCGTACCCAGTATGGGACGATGGCGAGATTGATGATAGCGAGTTTCCAACCTTCGATTCCGTTGAAAACGAAGATGATGTAGCAAGAATGGACCCAGGAGAAGAGGCCATTCAAGAGGACCTTGAACTAGACGAAGTTCAGGTGCCAGGTTTGCCTAAAGCCGAGGCCGAACGCCGAGCCGGCTGGAGGAAGTTACCCCAGCGCGTGAGAGTTGCCATCAGGCGTTTGCATCGACAATTCGGGCATGCGCCGAGAAAGGTACTCTTAAACCTTCTCAGAGCAGCGAAGGTCGACCCGCAGTATCTAGATGGACTGCGTCTGTTGCGCTGCAATGAGTGCGAGGAAAACGCGACAAGACGTAGCGCGCACAGCACGTTGTTGCCCGAAAAGTACGTTTTCAATCACACTCTCGGTATTGACCTTCTAGAAGTCACAGACGCTACAGGAACCAAGTTTCAGGTCCTAAACATGATCTGTTTAGGGACATGTTTCCAATTAGCCGAAATTGTTCGACAAGGTCCCGGTCAAGCGTCAAGCGCAAAGTGCCTCGAGGCCATACAGAGGAGGTGGATCACTTGGGCTGGTCACCCCAAAGCACTAAAATGTGATCGCGGATTGCACAACCGCGGCGTCCTAGCAAGGTACATGGCCGCGCACGGAGTGGATGTTACACACGCGCCGCTCGAAACACCCGAAGCCATAGGCCGAGTGGAGAGACACGGCGGGATCATCAAAGGAATGGCCCGCAAGGTCATCAGCCAAACTCAATCGCGGGGTTGGTTGGAAATGCAGCAAGTACTTGATGAGACTTGCCTGACAAAGAACAGCCTACTCAGACAGGGAGGCTACTCGCCAGCTCAATGGGTGCTGGGTCGAGCGCCGCGTGAACTACCATCTATCCTTAGTGAGGATGGGCACGCAGATCTAGGAGCCATTCAGGACTCTCTCGATCCCGAGTCCGCTTTCGCGCTCCAACACATGGTTCGTGCTGAGGCGAAGAAAGCATTCGTCCAGCTGGACACCTCTAAACGAGTTCAGCGCGCTCTTTTGCGCAACGCGAGAGCGATTCCTGGAGATTACCAGGTGGGCGACGTAGTAACCTTTAGGCGCACCAAGGCTGGGAAGACATCGTGGTCTCCTGCGTCTAGGGTTATTGGTTTTGAAGGGCGTAGCAAGGAATCGGTTTGGTTGCTTTGCGAAAACATTCCAGTTTTGGCGTCTGCGCAAAACCTGCGACCAGCAACGGACGCAGAGGCTTTGGCCTTTGATATCCTTCATGGGAATGCAATTATCCCTGAGGAAATTGTTAAGGATCAACAAGGGTTCGACGACTATCGTGAACCAGCACCAACCGGGGATCACGATCCAGCGCCAGATGTGACACTTGAAGAGGGCCCCAGTGATGGACCCATGCCATCTATCCTAGAGGAAGACGAGGAGCACCCGCGCTCTAGATCACCACCTGGGGTTAGGAACCGAGGTCCCAATAGTTCGAATGGACCAAGGATCAGAGGATCTAGTGGTTTAGGAACCTCTCAGAGTTCTAGGTCTCGTCGGCTTAGCATCGCCGAGCCTGAGCAAGAGAGGACTCCAGGTGGAAGTCGGAGGCCGTCGTATGATGTACAGGACGATTTGCCTGAGCAGCTGCGGCAGCACTTCCAGCGCGTAAGGGATGCGGAAGCGACGCCACCTAGAATTGTCAGCGACCAAAACACGGCGCTGAGTGCGACTCAAGCCCGACCGCGGGCTAAGTTCATAGCCTTTATGGCGAATCGCGCGGCAAACATTTCAAAGGAAGAAGCCAAGTCCCTTCCAGGCAGCCTCAACTACTATGACTGTTCACCCGCTGTCCAGCGCAAGATCGATGAATCTAGAAAGAAGGAATGGATGAAGTATGAATCATTCCAAGCGGCGATTCCAGTAACCGGTAAGATCCTAAAGGACTTATTGGATGAGGGACATGTTCCATTGCCCTCTAAGTGGGTTGACACTGTCAAAAACATCCACGAACAGCACCTGGAATCATTCGATCCAGAATTCAAGTCCCGCATGGTTGCTTGTGGCAACTTTGAAGGCGAGTGTGGAGTGAGGACCGATTCGCCCACATCGGATATTGAAACCCACGCCATGGTGTGCGCATTCGCAGCGTCAGAAGGAGTACCTGTGCAGGGCTCCGATATCAAAAATGCCTACTTCCAGGCTCTCCCAATAGATCGCATAGTGCTGATGCGACAACCCCGAGGGGGACTCCCGGGCGTAGACCCGGAAGCGATGTTGTTAGTTCGCGTTCCTGTCTATGGACTCCAAGACAGTGGGAGAGGGTTTTGGAAGCGCGTAGACAAAGACGCAAAAGACGTAGGTCTTAATGCGTCGCGCATTTTTCCCGCGTTTTACTACCACACCACGGGTAGTAAAGTGGATCTCTTACTTACCACTCATGTCGACGATTTTCTTTGGGCATCAACCCCCACTGGTGATGAAATCATGAATCGACTCTTAGAAAGGTTCGAAATCGGCAGAAAGGAGATCAAGAGACTCCGATTTTGCGGGAAGCAATTTGACCAATCCGGCAAGGACATAGTTATCGACGTTAGCGATAACACACGCCGTACTACGTATATCGACATAGCGAAGGGCCGACAATCTTCGGACCCGATCACGCAAGGTGAAGAACGTCAACTGCGTAGCGTAGTGGGTAGTCTGAGCTGGATAGCCAGACAAGGCAGGCCGGATATCCTGTACAAAGTTTCGTATTTGCAGTCCAAGGTTAAGGGAGCCACCGTAGCTATCCTTAAGGAGGCTAACAAATGTCTTGAAATTGCTCTTGCAGGAAAAGATTTCTGCATCCGGTGCAAAAATGGTCCTTTCGACTTTATGGATCTGGGAGTTTTAACCGCCTCAGATGCCAGTTTTGCCGGGGAGCCAGGTTTACGATCCCAGCAGGGACGTATTCACTTCCTAGTTCCAAGGAAGCAATTGACCACGCCAGGCAATTGCGTATTCGATGTTGCCTTGATCAGTTTTGGATCAACGACAATCAAGAGAGTATGCAGAGCAACTCTCCAAGCCGAGACGTACGCGCTACAGAGTGCGCAAGAGTCAGGTGACCGAATTCGAGCTCTGTTGGCCGAATTGTATGGACAAGGCAGTCCAGGAGCTGATTGGTACGACCGATCCAGAAGGACGGTTCCGCGCATGATGCTCACAGACTGTCGTAGTCTGTCTGAGCACCTCAACGTGGAGGTCCCTTCACGTGTCCAAGACAAACGTCTCCAAATAGAACTGAACGCGTTGCGTCAGGCGTTGTTCGAAGACGATGGCACCCGCAGTACCGAGGTCTTTCCCGGTGCAGGTGACCAAGTTGTGTGGACCTCTACGGCCACCATGATCGCTGATTGCTTGACGAAGAGTATGCGCCCCGACTTCCTCATCAAGGTATTGACAGCCTGTCAGTATCAAATCGAGAGGCAGTCGGAGAAGCAACTAGGATGATCTACACGACCCTCAGGGTGTGTGTGTCAGTCATGCGACTCCTAAGCAGCGCATGCACGTTTCGTGCGATCGAGTCAAGACGCACAGCGGTTTTCCGCTCATTCATGCCAGAGAGAAGGTTGAGTCTCAATCTCACCTATGTATAGCCTGGACATGAATGAGAGTGTATTGATGGCATAGATGTTGACTGTATTTTATCCGCTACATTTGGCTTACAGAGCGCTCTTGAGCATACCTGTCTATGCAGTGAGAAAAGGTGAAAGCCGCCAGCTTTTCCCAAAGGTACATTCAGTCAGCCCCCCCTTCTACACCCTTTACCACCCCACTGTGAATTGTAGAGGGCTCCGTGGTCTGCATCACCTCCCCTCGTCTCTGCTGTTGCCGCACATTGGAAGACGAGAAGCGTATGCAGAACTGAAACAACTAAACAACCCTAAACAGCGATAGAAATCGTTCAAGAAACGCGCAACCCTGCAAAACCCGAAGTGCACACCCTAAACCCTGAACCCTACACCCTAAGCACCTACTAAAACAAACCCAAGCCTTTAAAGGCACCAAGAACCTTGAACACCAGTGTCTGTGAGACCGATCGTGCGAACTTGAGAGAACTGAAGATTTGGGGCAATCTAGGGTTTAGGGTATCAGGGGTTTGCGTTTCGGGTTTTGTTCGAACTTAGGTTTTCTGGGGTTTAGGGTATCAGAGGCGTAGGGTTGTTAGGGCTTGGTTTTCGGGAGAATTTGATTTAGGGGTTCGTTTCACTGATGAGGGTTGAGCCTGTAGTGTGGTTCTTTAGCACTCGGTTTTTGGCTGCAGGGCTTGGTGCAGAGGTGCAGCCGCTATCACCTGAAGTACTACAGCATTGCAAGGAATTGGTGTTGGGCATTGTGTGGTAGGCTGGTAGGCATGGCAGTAAGCAAAAAGGTGCGAACCATCATGAACATGTTGGTTGCGTTCTGCCCGTTCTTTGTGGGCCACTCCTCATATCTCATAGAGGAGTTCAGTCAGTATACCCATGGACCCATGAGACAACGCTTCATACAATGATGTGATGGGACGCGACGTCGGCTAGGGGAAGTTCGACCTGAGGGCAGGGTTGGTGCTGATTTGCCAGAGAATGAGACGGATCACCTCAACGCAGGCTGAGGCTTTTACTCGGCACGAGCGCATTGCGGAGGTCTCGCCATGAAGATTGATGCCAAGACCCTGCATTAAATTGGGGACAACAATTCCGAAGGGAAGATGACGGTCAAGTAGTTGGGCCGCGCCCAGGACATGCTTAGCTTCCGTCGATCCCTCGGTGCCCAACCCCGCCAACGCCGAGCTTTTGGGACCCGGTTTTTTTGGGACCAAAGGGCTAAAAAACCGACAGCCCCAAAAGCCCCAAAAACCCTCCCCCAAGGCCGCTCGACGGTGGAGAAGCTGCAGTGCGCCCTGCGCGGTGCTTCCGACGACGCGCGGTCGCCGAAGTTCCCGGCAGAGGCGCGGGGGCTGGCACCAGAAGGTCTCTGGTTCAGTTGTAGGGGGTTTAAGGTCCGAGGGTTCCGGGGGGTTCAGCGCTTTAGGTTCAGAGTTTGGGGTTTAGGCCTTCAACCCAAATCATAAACCTTAAGCCTCAAACCCTTTTTATCATCCTTTTGGTGCCCCAGCTATGAAGCTGTGGGCCGTCATGTGTACGATAGCAGGGGGATCATACAGGGGGCGTTTGTGGTTTTGGGTCAAGGAACGTCTTAGGCCCGAAAGCCCGGAATCCTAAAGCCCCCCAAAAAAACCTAGGACAAACCCTAAAGCCCTTCAATCCCCTGAAGGCCAAACCCCCTGGCCGCCCAAGCCTGTCGAAAGTTCTACACCCTCACCTCGCAAAAGCCCGCAAAGCCCTGAAACTCAAACCCTTCAGTTGCATGGCTTGGCGATTGCTTCCCCCACTTTTAGTGCGCCGGGCGAAGGTGGGGTTGAAGGTTTCAGGCATAGGGTGCAGGGTTTCCTAAACCCCTAAACCCTAATCCCCTAAACCCTAAACCCTAAACCCTAATCCCCTAATCCCCTATGACGGCTGCCTGCGTGCGGCCCCGACGCAGGCCTGGCGGGAAGCCGAGAGCTGGCAGAGCAGCATCCTCAAGGCCGGCCGAAGGGGTTTAGGGTTTAGGGGTTTAGGGTTTAGGGTTTAGGGTTTAGGTTTAGGGTTTAGGGTTAAGGGGTCAGGGGTTTAGGGTCTAGGGTTTAGGGTTTAGGGGTTTAGGGGTTTAGGGGTTTAGGGGTTTAGGGGTTTAGGGGTTTAGGGGTTTAGGGGTTTAGGGGTTTAGGGGTTTAGGGTTTTAGGGTTTAGGGTTTAGGGGTTTAGTCGTTTAGGGGGGTTTAGGGGTTTAGGGTTTAGTCGTTTAGAGGTTTAGGGTTTCAGGGGTTTAGAGGCTTCGGGTCTAGGGTTTACGGTTTCGGGTGTAGGAGTTTAGGGTTTAGTTAGGGGTGTAGGGCCAAGGCTTCCCTTCAGAGTTTCGGGTTTCGGGTTTGGGGTTTTCGGTTTCGTTAGGGCTTAGGGAGTGTTTTTAACCTTAGGGTTTTGGGTCAGGCTTCCCTTCAGGGCTTTTAGGGTTCTGGGGTTTAGGGTTTGGGGTTTACGTTGAGTGCTTGGGATAGCTTCAGGGTGCTTCGTTTTTGGGAGGTGTAGGCTGGGGAGGGGCCAGAGGGTTTTGGTGGCTGAGGGTTGAGTGGTTCAGGGCTCATGCTTTTGGAGGTTTGGGGCTGAGAAGGCTTGGGGCTCTAGACCGCTAGTTCTTTGGGTTCAAGCCATTTAGGGGTTGATCTGTGGGTTGAGGGTTTAGGGGCTTGGGGGTTGAGGGTTGGAGATAGGCTACTGTTTCAGGGTAGGTTCTTGGGGTATCTAGGGCTTTCGAGCGTCTGGGTGCTGCAGATTGGGGAGTCAAGGGGACGTACTGTGTTTGGGGTGTACAGACCCTGAACTACCCTGGAAACCCTGCAACATCCCATGTTGTGGTTCGGGCACTTGAATCGAAGTTTCAGGTTGCAGGGTACCCTTCTAGGACGCCCAAAGCACCCCCCGAAGCGCCCCTGAAACCCTCCAGCCCAAAACCAGACCCCCAAAACCCTAAACCCCAAACCCTACCCCAAAGCCCTGAGCCAACAAAAGCCGGGAAGCCCAAACACCCAACCCTCAACCCTCTCCACCCTCAACCCTCCCAAGGCGCTCCTGCGGAAGGCCAGCATCTCTCCGAAGGAAGCTCTCAAGGTGCCAACCTTCCTAGGGGCAATTAGCAGGCTTTAGGGGGGCATTCTGGGCTTTGGGGGGGGGGCTTCAGGGGTTCTTTAGGGGCTTCAGGAACTTGAGGGGCTTTTGGGTTTGGCAATTGTTTAAGGGGCTTTAGGATTTAGGGAGTTTAGGGCTTCTGTTTAAAGGGCTTTTCTTAGGTGGGTCTAGGGGCATACGGCTTAGGGGCTTAGGTTTTGCAGTTGAAGGTCGTGCCTGCAGACTTGTGGGCTTAGGGTTTGCAGGGTTGGGTTTTGCTTCGGTTTTGCTTTCATCCTTTTCCTCTTTTTTCATTGGGGGGGGGGGGAAGGGGGTTGTTCGGTGCTTTGGGCTTAGAGTTTTTTGTCGGTTCGGCTGAGGAGTTTGGGGAGTTCGGATCTGGCTGCGGGGATTTAGGGCTTTTTGGGTTTCTGGGTTGGGACGTCGGGGGAACTTCGACTTAGCTTGTCCTGCTTTGTCTTGAAAGAGTCTGGGATGTCATTTGCTCAGTTTCTTGTCTCGGGTTCATGAGTTTCCTACTCACCCAGGACAGGGATGAGCTCCACCTAAGTTTAGATGAACTCCTGACCCGGCTAGGCGCTCTTAGACCAATCTGATGAACATGGGGTACTCCTATAGTCAGGATTCTCACAAGGATTATCGTATTATGGGGGGGAAATCAGCGGGATCCCGAATTGGGGCAGGAATAGGTGCGCTTTTATTTCAGGGCTTGGGGTTTCTCAAATGAGGACTTCGCTCAATCTGTACCATCGATATCATCCAACGCTGGGAGCACCGCGCCGAGTAGTTCATCTCTGCGCTGGCATGCAAACCCTAAACCCTAAACCCTAAACCCTAAACCCTAAACCCTAAACCCTAAACCCTAAACCCTAAACCCTAAACCCTAAGCCCTAAGCCCTAAACCCTAAGCCCTAAGCCCTAAGCCCTAAGCCCTAAACCCTAAACCCTAAACCCTGAACCCTAAACCCTAAACCCTAAACCCTAAAACCTAAACCCTAAACCAACCCTAAACCCTCAACCCTACACTCTAAGCCCTAAAACCCGCTTTAAGGCAAACTTTAGGCTCTTGAGTGCAGGAGCTTCATCAGCGAAGGGCCGCCACTTCAGGGGGTGCGGGCCCAAGGCATGTTCCCAAACCTCAAGCCCTATGGACTCTGAACCTGAATTGGCTGCACTTGATTGCGAGATGCCAAAAAAATCTTCCGACCAGGACTGTCTGCGAGGCTGGTCTACTCAGTAGTTAAAGTGCTGGGATCCCTCGCTGCTTCTACGCACAGCTAGCATCCAGCCCTAGAACACTGAACCCTATTCCCCCGAAAAGCGGACAACTCAGAAGCCCTAAGCATGACAAGCCCTTTCACCATATTACCCCAAAACCGCGTAACTGCTTCAGAAACCCGGAACCCTTACAGAACTGGCCATGAACACTTCCAGAGGCCTTGCAGCCTCTTCGTGATCGGCTAATGCGCCAGCGTGTGACCCCTGGGGGCCTTTCTCGAATCCGGAGCCCTCCCCCGGGGCCCACGTTTTTAAAACGCGATTCGGTTTGATTAGGCTGCACAGTAGGTTTTTGGGTTTTATTCTCGGAGTTTCAGGATCTGTCTTTTTGGATGCGAAACTCCTAAACCCTAAGCCCTAAACCCCCCTCCCCCCCCCCAATGCCGAACTCCAAGTAGGAAGAGGCCGACAGCTTCTGTGGCAACGGCCCCTGGGTTTCCTCCAGACCCACCTAGATCCTGA